CGTTATATATATATATATATACATTTTACAACCGATATTATATCAATGTTAATTAATATCATCAAAGCTGCAAGCTGACAGGTCTGTGCGTCGCCATATTAGAAATTAGAAAAGGAAAGACGTCTTTTAGAAAAAGAAATCTGAATGCATTAGTTGAGTGCGTTCTGATTGGTTGCGTGCTGACGACGCTGACCAATAAGACATGCGTGACATTCTAGCGTGACATCCGAGAAAAATGATGATTTTTTAGATTTCTCGACTTTGGATGCATATATCTTAATTTATAAAGCACACAGAGCAAAAACAAGCATACTTTCTTTATATATTTTAGGTATGCGCTTTCGATTGAGCCTATTGCCAACTCAATCGGCCCAGCCGTTATTGAGATCCGATAATTTCGGCTCATCTGAACTTTCTGTCTCGCGTAAAGAGACACGGTCGGTCTTGCGCTTGCGTTGCGCGCTGCGCATGAACTTGGCGCGAGACACTACCGTGTCTCTTGATATTATATTTTATATTTATATTATATTTTTTATATTATTTTTGTACGTAGTCACAAATATATTTTATATTTATATTATATTTTTTATATTATATTTTTTACGTAGTCACAAATATTTATTTCTTAATATTTATTATATATAGTTGCAAAGGATACTGTTGCATATAATATTATATTATATTATATTTTTGGTATAAAATCACAAACTTAAAATCTACTTATATATTAACCACTTTAATGGTAGACTTTTCTGAAAGGTTTGTGCCAAAAGTGGTAAGAGCCGAAAGTTAAAATATCTCAAAATGGTGAAATACGAGTTCAAAGTTTTCAAAAAAACTACTTTTTGGAATGGGCGTGGATCGTTCCCCACGCCCCGGGGGGGGGGGGAGAATAAAATAGGAGGGTAAAATGGGGGAGGGGTAGAATGGGGGTGGAAAATATTAAATGGCACTATCGGTCGAGTGGGGACTCATTTGAAAGGGCTTTTCAAGACAAGAACAATGATATTTGAAAATGTTTACGATCTTCGAATCAAAAATTATGATCGTGTAAACCAAAATGTGGGGGATCGTTAAAATATTTAACCAGCTAATGATGGAGGTGAAAAAGAGTTCCTTATTTCGACAATTTAAAAAAGCCATCGTGTACCAAGTACTATGCGAATATGTTAAAAATTATTGGTTTAACTATTGTTATAATATATTGGTTTCAATAAATTGTTTTAATTATTGGTTAAACAATTAACAGTCGCCATATTGGATCCGCCATTTTAAATTTTGCAATTTTGACATCAGATTCGAAAAAAACCTTAGGATACCAAATTTTATGCAAATTTGTTGAAAATTATTTGAATTATTTGAAAATGTACATACATGATACAATATTACTCAACTGGTTAAACCATTTTTCCAATTTTTTAAATCAATAAATAATTTAATAATTTCCACAAAGTCTCAATTAGAGTTGAACAAAGTTTGGAAATTTTGAAAATCTAAATCTTCCAAGTTTATAGAAGCATACGTATCTTTTGAATGAATTTTTGTAAGAAGTTCTGATGGAATCTCATAATTGTAATAGCAGTTTTTGTTTCTACGAAATGCAGCTCGAATGGTCATTATTGTGTTCAACATGTACGGACTTATTTTATTTCTATGTTTGTTTTTGATAATGCTCATATGGCTGAAAATTCTTTTGATTTCTGCGTTAGAAATAAGCAATACTAACAGTAAAATTGCAAAAGTGGCTATTTCTAAACAAGGATTATTTTTAGCAGCATCAGTAAAATTTAAAACTTTAGGCCAAAATGCAATAGTTTTAGTCGTGTTTTACTTGCATAAAGTTAAATTTTTTAATTGGTTTTCAATTTTAGTAATATTAAAAGCAGAAACTCCAGATTACTCCAAGATATCTGAGATTTTTTCCTTATTTACTTTTAATGCGTTTTCTACGGAGAAAACAGATATTTTTTCAAAAGTTTAACATTTTTAGGGAGTCTTTGTTTAAGTTGGTCGATTAAGTTAATTACAAACTTGATACATCTTGTTTTCACTGTAAGGATGTTATTTAAATTCTCTTTCTTCATTTTTCAACATTAACTATCAAATGAATAACTCATATAAGCATTATTGTCAACATAATCTTCGATTTCATGCGTAAAAATATTAAATCGTGTATTAGGAACTGTTATTCTTTTGTATTAGGAACTGTTATTCTTTTGACAAACCTATCAATCAAAACAATAAGTCATTCAATAGTTTTGTACGATCCACGTCATTAGATTCGAATAGTTTATTTACTCTTTGCAATTCTACTAAAATAAGTTGTAAGTAAGAAAAATATAAAAAATTAACGTCATCATCATACATATTGTATAAAAGCTCTGCAGTATAACATTTTTCTTTCGATCTGACTATTTAAAAATGTGTTTTTAATTCAAGCCATTGCTGACATATTCTTGAAACAGCATTTTCTACATTTAACCAGCGTGTTGCACAAGTTTGACGGATTTTTAGGGGTAATTTATCATTGTTAATTAGCTCGTATACCTCTTTATATGTTTCTTGTCTTGCAGCTGATTTGGCAAACCAATTATAAGTTTTTTTTAAATATAATAATTATTATTAAAGGGTAGTTAATCGATTACCTTTATAGGATATAAATCATTAAGAATTAATTAATAATACCAAATTTTTAGGGTAATTATTTATTAGTAGATAAAAAACTTACTTAATTAGAAAATCAAAATTTCTTGGTAAAGCATTATCTGAAGCAGCACTAATAGCTAGTTGTATTGAATGGCAAATACACCTAATAAGCACTAAATTAGGAACTTCTTCCTTTAATCGTTTATATACTTCGTTTGGAAAGATTTATCAAATGATCACAACTCATTATTGAACAATGTTGCGCAATAAATAAAGCATTTTTTACTTCAGCTAGCTTTACGCTATTATTCATGGTCATCTTTAAAAACTCTATTTTTTTTTGGCTAGATGCAGCTTGCATCAGCAGTTAGAAACTGCTTGCTTATACTTTCGTGTTTCAATAAAACTTTTTAAATCGTTTAAACGACAAGAAGTAAATATGCAATATTTACATTTAGCATGATCATCTTCAGCCATTAGCCATAATTTTAGGTTAGGACCTGCAAACCACACCATGCAAAATTTTTGTTTATAGGTATTTTTACAGGCTATGTTCCAATATTCGGAGTCACTTTGACCAACTCGAATTAACTTTAATCGACGATTAAAGGTACCTTTTCACGCAAACGCTCAACGCTCAACTTCAGCGTCAGAAGACATCATGTGATTAAACACCACTGACAATGAGTGGTCCTGAGAAAGTCAGGAAAAGGAAAGAAACCGGGAAGTAAGAATGAGAATATTAGAGGAGAAGGTAGAAGAATTGGATATAAGGTCAAAAGTGATAAAAAAGGCGATGGAGAAAAGGAAAAAAAAATTGATAGAAGAGAATGGGTGTGATGAAAACAATCAATAAAGGAATGGGTAAAAATTTTTTGTAACATGGAGAATAGGAAAAAGAAAGAATTAGGGGAGGTAATTAGGAAAGAGAAGGGAGAATTTAAAAGGAAATGTAAATAGTAAATGAGAATTTTAATATA